CAGTCAACACTAGCCTTGGCTTCGCCAGCGGCCACTGCTGCCTGGGACAGCAAGTGGGAGTTCTGTACACAATAAATCACTCCTTCTGGTGACTTCTGCCGTTTAACTTCCAACCTGGGATTAAGCCTCATGATTGTAGTGATCCGAGTACACCCACTACTCAGACCCCTACAGACCTATCCGTAACGCCAACCCTAACCTAAAACACAAAGTCTAACCCTAAGCGTGATGGACAATGAGGGAAAGGGAAGGGGGTAACGTAAGCCTACTCAAGTGACAAAAGTAGGCATTTCTTAGTACCACAAGGTAGGTAGGACCATATACCCTAATTTTACACTGGCTTCTAATAACTAAGCAGCCACCCCAGTTGACCAACGGGTGTTTTGGACGACAGACTTAGATCAATTTCCCAGTTAATAGAGATTTCGCGGGTTAGTTCATCAAGCGAAGGGACACATACTGACTTATCGTCCTTCAGCAGCAAACAAATCTCGAACCGGCAGCCTCTGTAGCGGACAGCCAGCAACGGTGTCCGACTTTCTTATTCAATGTCCGCTGCTTCAATGCAATTTTACAGACAGCTGTTTGCGACTCGTTGACCTGAAAACTCTTGACCTACCTCCCCGCACGCACACACGTGCGTCCAAGTAGTCGAGGCTACCAAAGGGCTGTAGGAGTCTGCCGCCCAGCGCAACTGCGCTGACTCATCCTGCCCTCGTTTGCACCATGACTTACATTCACATGTGACACATTGCCCACTTCGCGGGTTATCGGCCTTTCTAACGCTATCGATTGACTCGCCACTTGCTAAGTGTGTAAACTTGAAGTCAATCGATACTTCCTATTTTTTGGTTGGTCTCAGACGAGAGAGCATCTATCACGGCAGACAAGGCTCCACGACAGTACACCTTTTCGCCAATAGAAGAGAATATCCGAGTTCTAGGAAGCAGATCGGAAGAGGAACAAGCGATCATTGGAATAAGAGGTTTATTGTTCTGACGTTTCGGATTCCCCCGAGAATCCTTGATCATAAGTAATAGAAGAACAGTCTGAGACATGCGCAGATAGGTACACCTTTTCACCGACTCAACTGGACTTGATGACAATTAGTACGGTTGTACCTTTTTGTTCAATATTATCCTTTATTACACTTTTACGCCATTACGTCATTATTATTTTGGAATAAAACTCGCTAGGCGCTTCGTTAGTTCGTCTGGACGTCGAAATTCCACAGGGCCACTTGAACACGCCACCTCTCGACCCATGCAGCAGGGGCCACTGTACAATACATCCACCCCGGCATTGCAACGCACCAATCACACACCCCTCGAACTCGCTCCACGATCACATAAAAGTAGCTGCCACCACTATCTCTCACACTCTTTCAGGCCTGGCTGGACGGGCAGCACTAGTCCTGGGTTCGCCAGTGGCCAGTGCCGTCCGAAAAAGCAATGCAGGTTTCCGCGCACAATAGAACCCTCATTGTGGTGCCTTCCGCCTTTTACAGAAAACGGGGGATTCGGCCTGACGATTGTAGTGTCCCGAGTACAACCACAACTTACACGCCATTCCCCCTATTAGGTTAATCATGACCATTCTAGCACAACGGTTGAGTACCACTATCGTCTTCAGAGCACCTACGCACTGTTTGTGCGCTTGGATTTGCAGTACCAGGCATTATGACTCGGTGTTTTGACTGTAGGCTATAAGACGTGGTCGCGAATCACCAAAATGTCCTTTTGGGGAGGGGGGAGGGAGGTTATTGTTATATGTGGATTGTCTGTGTCGTACCTTTGTGCCGAGAAACAGTCTATGCCAAAGTAGTACAACAAAACAGTTCTACTAATACGAAATAAGTAGGCAGTTATGCGAAGTAAGCGTATTGAGCCCCAAGATCAGAATATCACCGTTAAATTAAGGTATAATAAGCCCTAAACAACAGTTATCAGATGTATAACTATAGGCCTGTCGGTGCCCTCCTCCCTTTTCCCGACAAATGAATGAAATATATACTGTCGCCACGAGGCAGACTATTTCTCACCGAGATATAGTGGACGTCTGCATCGGTGGTGTGGTAGAAGAGGGATCCACCACGATTGAATGTTCGAAAATCCATGCTGAACTGAAGCGT